CTCACAGCTACAACAATTTAGCAAAAAAAATCTCTTTGAAAATTAAGTGAAATGTGTGAAACCAAATTTATTTTAAATGTGTCCTGTAAAATATCAAAGGAGGAGGATTCCATCCGGTCCAGATTATATGGATTGGAGGACGCTGTTTAGGTTTATGGAATCAATCATGGAGTCTATCATGAATTCTATTTCGATAATTCGAATATTTCATTTTATCAGACACTCCATGTATTTCATTCACAAAAAAAAAATTATATCGATCCGTTAATCATAATATTGTTCAATATATCAAATTTGTCGCAGACAAAAAAATAAAAAAAAGATGACAATTGTGTTTTTAAAAATAAATAATATATTTTTTGGTGACAAACGCAATAAATTAAACAGGTTACTATTAACAGATCGATTTAATTTGTGTGAATGAAATAGATGAAGTGTTCAACAATAGAACCTGTGGTGGGTCTCATGGACCTAAACAACACCAGTGGACTAGAGTTGCCTATTAGATATGGAAAATAATATTTTACTCTTATTGAATTTTTTATTCAAATTTTTTTGCTTGAATGATGTGGCAGTAACAATTTTAAAAATAGGATTCACTAGTTTTTTTACTGTTTTTATTACCAGCTACATGATAATATATTAGAAGATTATATATCACATGTTTATATCATCTTTTTATATCACCCACCTACATGGAAAGATGTCATTTGTTTGCATTAATTTGTTAATAATCATCTTTAAATAATAGAATTAATTATAAGTATCCATATAGACGGTGACACAAAATAATGATAAATAATCGGTCATATATAGCATTTCTATATGACAATATGTTACTTGTTTTCATTAGTTTCTTAATAATTATCTATAAATAAATGAGCCAATTATAAATTTCCATGTCGACAATAATACAAAACAATGATAAAAACATATGTGGCATATCTAACATTTCTTTTTTCAAATATAAACAAGTCTTTTAATTGTAAATGATAAAATTAAAACTTGCCACTGTATTAATTTGATGGAAAAATAATTTCAAACAAGATTATAGGGATACAAAATGAACATGACATAATCTTAATTATACATATTACATGAAAGGAGTAGGATTTATCATAAAATATATAGTTTCGCTCTGAAATTACACTATCTATATTTTATAGTATTATTGATTTTGTATTCGCAAATTTATTTTAATTATTTTCGTCTAACAATCTACTAATTAGAAATTCATATGACAGAATCTTCGTGAAAGGTCCTTGTTCGTGGGAGACACTTTCAATCCTGATGACTTCAGCCGTATTTTCAGCAATAAAATAACAGGATCTTCTTCAATATCCTTAGAAGTGCCAGTAGTGGGAGGAAAAAACAACTATGTTTCAGGGTTCGATGTGGAAATTGTTTTTTATAAAGCTGATGATGAAGAAAGTTGCTCCATGGAATTAAATGATTATCCATACATCATTTTTACTGATAAAACTAATGACATCGATTTTACTTATACTCCAACCTTTTTCGGCTTCTTTGAGAGTAGTGGAGATTATGCTTGGAGCAGCCATATAAGCGTTGATGAATATTTTGGGTGTAGAATTAAAGGTGGTGAGCAATTTCAAGTTTCTTTCATTATGCCGTCACTTTTTAAAGTAGAGCAGTGTGCGATGGATCTGATTGTTGAGTCAGAGAAGCCTTTAGATTGAAGCCTTGTTTGTCATCTACTATATAATCCATCTTTTTATCTTTTTATCTTTTTTCCATCACATCACCTCTCTACTTTTCTACACATCTTTTCGTAAAAAGACAAAAAGTACACTTTTTTAGTACACCCCAAACCAACCCTGAGTTGGTACTGGAGCTTTACACCTCCTTCTACAGATGATGAAGGATGATTATGAAAATTGTCACCAAAACATCAATTGTAATTGGGCCATCTCACATTTTCCTTTGAATAAATATGAATGAATTGCAATCGCATTTTTTTGTCTCTTTTTTTTTTTTCTTCTTTTTAGATAGTACAAATACATTTATTTTTTTGAGATTTGTTTAAAATCTATAATTTTGGAAATTACAAAAACTAGTTTGGTTACGAATTTTAAAAAGAGAAAATTTATTTGGTTATAAATATGAAAAAGAGTTTTGAGTTGTATTTTGAATTTTTTTCAGTTTTTTTTAAATGTTTAAAAGTTTTCTTATTTTATTTTTTTTGGATAAATATTTTTCACTGTAAATATTTACTTATTTATTTTATGTGCGTTGTATTTTTTAAAAATATTTTAAATATTATTTCTAAATATTTAAAAATTTTAATTTTATTTATTTATTTTTATTTTAAATATATAATTTTATTTAAAATATTTTATTAAATATTGTTAAAAAAAAATTGGAATAGTTTCTATTTATTTTTTAAATATTTAATATTTAAAAAATTTTGAATCGCCCATATATATTTGAAATTATAACAAATTATTTGGTCAATACTTTAAAAAAATAACAAAATATTTTTTTGAAAAAATAAAAAAATAAATATAAATTTTTTCTTCAAAAATAAAAAAAAAATCAAAAAATAAAAAAATAATTTTAAAGAACAAAAAAAAAATCTATAGATCTTTTTTTTTTTAGAAAAAATTGAATTTTGAAAGAATTTGATTAGAAGTTTTAAAAATAAATTTTAAATTGAGTTTTGAGTTATATATTTAGTTAGGGTAAATTACATCGACACTCCTTGAGATTTTTGTTTAATACAGATTCCCCTTCCCAAGATTTTTAATCTCTTTACAAATTGCTCCTGGATAGCTGATGTCATTTTGGCTATGCAAAATACGGCAAATCTGCTAAAACTGCATTGATCTGCATCAATCTACACTGCTCTATCCGCTAATCGTGATTTAAACTTTAAAATTTACAATTTACCTTCGAAACCGCTCCACGCCGCTATAGTTAATACATATATATAATATAATCTATAATGAAATATTAAAGCAAAAATGAGTGTGAAAGAGATTTAATACATGAAATTTATTACAAATTAGTAGTTATATATATGAAAATATTATGTAAAATTAGTTTGTATTATATATATGAAAAATATTATGCAAATTATATTATATATTATGCAAAGGCTTGATAATTGGTTAGAATATTTTTCAATTCGCCAATCCGCCTAAAACCACTCAAACCGTAATTTGCCAATTCGGCAATCCACTAATCCGCTATTTGGTTTATAATTTTACTCTCAAACCGTCGGAACCACATCACGCACACCCTTAGATGTCATGTCCTAAAATTTTCTAAATGATCATGCTGTCATTTTTCTTACCATTTCTTCTTCCTATCATTATGACTACATTCTACAACTTTTCATCATTAAATTTTACCTGAATATATTCTTATTGAGAGATGATATACAAACATAAATTTTATATAAAATTTTCAAATACAATGATGTAAACTTAATGGTGATCTTTTACTTTAAAACAAAACACTTATAAACATGATTTATATTTACAATAACATTACTATTACAATATTTTCATGATATTTTTTGTATAAATTTTTAAATATGTATAATTTTTCATTTTTATTTCCACCATCATTTTTCTTTCTTGTTTATTTACCAACATTTATTATTATAGTATTACAAAATATCGTCATTCATATTTATTACAGTATTATTGATTTTTTTTTTGAATTTGGTGAATTTAAAAAAAAATCAAAAAATATTATACTTCGTAAGTATATTTAGATTAGGTGTATCTAAAAAATAAAAAAAAAATTAAAATATTAAAAAAAACACAAAAAATAAAGAAAATTCAATTTTTTTTTGTGAGTTAAAAAAAATGATTCAATATATTTGGTTTCAGTTTTTTGAAAATTGAGTTTTTTTTAGTGAATATTTTAAAAATTTTAAGCATTTTTTTTTTCTTTTTTAGATGTACCTTACTTAGATATATCTAAATAGTAAAATATTTATGAAAAAATATTTTAAAAAATTAATAAACACACAAAAATACAAAAAATGTACTAAATTTTTGTATTTTTTTAATATTTTTGGTATTTAGTGAATTTTTTGAAATTTTTTTTCACAAATATTATAGTTTTTAAGTGTATTTATGTTGGGCATATCTAAATTTTTTTAAAAAAAATTGCTTCAAATATTAAAAAAATTCATTGAAAGCAAAAAATACAGAAAATAAAAACGGAAAATTTTCTGAAAAGTATTTTGTAGAAACCAAAGATTAAATGACAAATATGCTATTTTAATTCGACAAGAAACTAAGTGTAATTTTTCAAACGTAAATGAGAGATTATATTAAACAAAACCTCAAGGCTCTGTTTGTTTTCAGACATAGAATGTAAGTGATTGATAGTGATGGGATTAAGTAAAATTGTGTTTGTTTTGATGATAGTTGTTAGTGTAGGGATTGTTAAATTATTTTTACATAAAATAAATATAAAATAATAAAACAAATAAAAAAATACAAAAATATTAAACATTAATGCTTTAAAAAAAATGCCTGACATGTATAAAATTTTTAAAAAATTAAAATAAAATAAAAAATTTCTAGAAAAAAATAAAACAAATAAAATAATGATTTTTACTTAACAAAAAATACAAAAATTATACATTAATGTTAAAAAGAAATGTCCGACGTGTAAAAAATAAATGAAAAAAAAAATTTCTAGTTCGCTGGACTATTTTTCTAATACCAAGTTCTAGAGCCCTATCCAAATCCCCTTGGGGAGGCCCATCATAATCCGAAAATCACTAGCAATTCCCTCTCTCTCTCTCTCTCAAAATAAACACGTGAGTCTCACCTCATTACCAATTCCAATCCTCCTCTAAATCTCCAAACAAACAGAGCCCAAGATATCAGTATAATTTACCCATTTAATTGTGGATTTTGAAATTTTTAAAAATTAAAATCATGATTTGATTTGAGTTTCAAACCAAATGCTACTAAAATTTTTTTGGATCAAATGCAACTAAAATTTGATGCTCAATAATATTCCACACTTTTAGTTGTAGGGTTTAAAACAGCAACCAATAAAATAAACCCTTGTTCTTCTTCTGCTTGTATCTATCTCTGTGGCCATGGCTTTGGACGACGACATAGAGAGAATTCTATTCAGCGAAGACCAAATCTCCCAACGAGTCTCCGATCTGGCCTCTCAGATCACCCATGACTTCACCACCAACGCCGTCTCTTCATCCCCGCCGGTCGTCGTCGGCGTGGCCACCGGCGCCTTTCTGTTCCTAGCCGACCTCGTCAGAAAGATCAAACTTCCCCTCAACGTTGACTTCGTTCGAGCCGAGTCGTACGGCTCAGGAACTGTATCGAACGGCGCTCCGAGAATTTCATTCGACTTGAAGATCGATATTCAGGGAAAGCACGTCATTCTGGTACTGTTTATATCATTCAATTTCATTTTTAATTCTTTCGCCGCTGTTGTTTGGTATCTAATTGTGTGAAGATGAAGATTTTTTGTGTTCTGATTTTTTGGTTGCATAATGACTCGTGAAAGCGATTTCATTTTGTGACATTTGATTGATGTTTGCTTCGTTATTTATTTTTTTTTTAAAGAACAAACATTTAGATCGAAAAGGGTTACTGCAATGCAATGTATCTTTATTCAATGAAATGAACCACCACATAACATGGGGAATGATCTGAGATTTTGTCAAATTAGGAGACAGTCTGGATGTAGATGTTATTTTTTAAAATTTCTAAGAGTTTTGTTAAGGCATACCTTTTAAGGCCAGAAATTATCATATGAACTATATATGCACCTTATAACTAAAATAGGAAAATGGCATAATTTCAATCAAAAAGAAAGAAAAAATTGTCAATGACTAAAGAACTCTTGAGTCCTAACTAAATTAATGTCATAACTAAAGAAGAAAATTGATCATAACTAAAGATGAAAACGGCATAATTAGGGTGCATATGGTTCCCCCTTTTAAACAGGTGTGTATTAGAATTTCCCTGGGAAGATGCATGTTAAGAAGTTTAAAAAAATTATACATTTTGCATAAAAATGCATTCAATAAATGATAAATAATATTTTTAAACCTCAAGGACTCAAATTAACAAGACCCAAATTCTAAACTTCTTTACCAAGCTTATTTAGAAAGCTCTGGGAGGAGAGTATGTAGTAATGTGGGAATCAAAATTACAACCATCATACAGAGCTTTATCAGAAGGAAGATATGGTTAATTTATGTTACTGGCAAGGTCCACACCTTGCAGTCGTGCCCCCAATCCCTTCTGCTTCTGCACCACCACCACCACCACCACCACAACAACAATAAAGATCAGAATATTATATATTGACAAAAGATTATTTCACATGGGTTACATTGAGACAAGAAAAATAAACGTGCAAGTTGGATTAGTGATGGGTGCATAGTTGGTCTTATTCTCAACATTTATGGGGTTTGATATTATTCCTGTATTTTTATTTTCTATTCAGCTTTGATATTCTTTCTTTGACATGTTACTTATATTTCGGTTTTTCCTTGGCTTAGGTTGAGGACATTGTGGATACGGGAAACACTTTGTCTTGTCTTATTGCTCTTTTGAAATCCAAAGGAGTGTCCTCCGTATCGGTGTGTACCCTCCTTGATAAAAGACGAAAGGTTAATTTTGAGCTTGTGGGTAAAGGAAAGTATTATTATGGCTTTGAGGTTCTCTCTCTCTCTCTCTCTCTCTCGTGCATATGCAATTGGTGAAACCTTCTCTAAATCCAAGTTTTACCATGTTTGATGTTTCAAACAATTGAAAACTAATACATTTGAAAATAGCTGCACAATTTACCTGCAGTAATATGTGGAGTACCAAGGACAAACTAATACATTTTATCAGCTAACTATGCTTTGCTGCCACATCATTGAGTTGCAGTGTGTTTCTTCTGGCAGGATCATATATTGGTTCAATTAAAAACTATAAATTCTTGCAGCCCAACATTTCTTGGTGTCGAGAGGAACCTGAATTACCAAATAATTTATCTCCTCTGATTTTCTAGGCAATGATATCCTAGTGTGCCTGTCGAAATTTTTTCGTTTTGCTAGTTTCAAGGCATTGTAAATTACAATTGCCATTCATGCATTTGAGGTTTGAATGGTCGAATTCTTTATTATGGCGGTTCCTTATTATTTATGTCATTTTATAACAGTCAATTTCCACCATGTATGTGTTGTAAGTATTCAGAGGCACAACCTCCATTCAATAGTTTCAGGAAGTCAAATAGTCCATTTCTACTTTATAGTAATAGTTGTTAACTTGTTATAATGTTTCTGAGACATGACCTTCTTTTTACTGTGCTTGTATAGAACTTTTCTCTTTCCTTTTGAGTTTAGATTATTTGACCACTCTTCATTGAATTCTTGTACATTTTGACAACTATAACATAAGAAGATGCTTTTTTCTCGACTCAGAATAACCAATCACATACTTCTAAAGGACTTTGAAGTAGTATTTCCAAAAGTGATCTGTAATTGATGGATTAAATCTTTGATTTTTTTTGTTTTTGTTTTTAGTTATTTTAATTGGGAAAGTTAAAAAGCACTGAAGGGTGAAAGCTCTGTTTACCCAAGCCAGACCTTTAAAATTTTTAAAGAAATTATCTTGACATGCTTCAATTGGATGGTCTGTTGTGTAAGTTCACTGTCTGGTTGGCAGAAACCTTTTAGGGAGTGTTTGATAACTGGATGAGTGGGTAAGGGATTAGGATAAGAAAAACATATGTGGGCCTCACATTCTCCCCCTTGTCCCTTGTTTAGTACAAAATATCTAATCCTAGGATAACCTTCTTATCACTCATATGAGGAATTAAATGAGGGATAACTAAGGGGTCTAGGAGGAAAAGGGGGGTCATTAGAGAAATGTTGAAGTTACATCAACTGGATATAGTGTTGCTACAAGAAGCAAAACGTGAGACTTGTGATAGAAATCTTATTAAAAGCGTATGGGGAGCTATATTTAGGAAGTGGGGATACCTTCCATCGGTAGGAGCGTCGGGGGATATTTTGATTATTTGGGATGAAAAAGTAGTGAGCGATTATGAGACAATTTTGTGGGAGTTTTCAATTTCAATCAGGTTTAGAAATTTAGATAGCAAGGAATGGTGGTTGTCTGGGGTTTATGGCCCTAATAGTCCTTTAAGGAGAGGGGTTTGGTGGGATGAGTTGGTTGGTTTGTATGGGTTGTGTTTACCAAATTGGTGTGTGGGTGTAGATTTTAATGTGGTAAGAACGGTGTTGGAAAAGCTTAATGGCTCATTAGTTAATAGAGGGATGAGGGAGTTTGATATATTTTATTTACAAAATATAATAAATAAATAAAATATTTAATGTGCATTAAAATAACAATATTTATAAAAAAACTTTTAATGTGTATTAAAAAAAATATATATATATATATTACCGCTCCCTGAGGCGCTCCAAACCTAAGAAACTTTTATCGGCTCACGCTTCTTCGCTCCCGCTCCCGCTTCGTGCAACTTAGGTTCTTCCATCGTGTTGTTGGCATGCTCTAGTTTGGCTCCAATTGCTTGGAGTCTTAGCTTTGCTAGAAATCTTTCTGATAGAGAGATTGGTGATTTAGCCTCCTTGTTGTTTTGCATTAATCATTTGTCTTTGGATTCTTCTTCGGGTGATAAATTTGTTTGGCTCTTACATTCTTCCGGGGTCTTTTCTTGTAAATCCTTCTTTGGAAAAGTCACTGAAAAACCAAACATACCATTTTTTCCCTCATCATGAAAGAATCTGAAGTCTTTCGCACATCTCAAAGTAAAGTTTTTTTATAGGGTCTTTGGTTCATGGAAGCATTTTGACCAATGAGATCCTTCAAAAGAGGAGGTCTAATTGTTATCTTTCTCCTCATTGGTGCATTATGTGTAAGGGGGAGGGAGAGAGTCTGAATCATCTTTTCTTGCACTGCTCAGTGGCAAGAAGTTTATGACAGCAGTTTTTTGCTTGGGGAGGTCTTACTTGGGTGGCCCCTGAAGCATGTAGTTCAATGGTCTCTATTGATTTTCGATTCTTAGGCCTAAACAAAAAGGCAAAGGTGTTGGGACTTTGTGCAGTTTTTGCTCTTTTCTGTGTTATATGGTTGGAAAGGAATGCGAGGATCTTTGAGGATAAATTTACTGACATATCTGCGATGTGGGAGAAAATCAGATTTCTTGCATCTTTTTGGGCTTCAATTGCTCCTCCATTTAGGGGAATTCCACTTGTTTTTTTTTTTTTTTTTTTTTTTTTTTTTTTTTTTTTTTTAGCGATTGGAAGTCCGTATGCGATTCGTAGAATTTTTACTTTCACTTTAGAACCTCCTTTGTATTTTTTTTTTTCTTCTCCATTTTAATAAAATTTTTTGTTGTTGCTGGTCGGAAAAAAAAAAGAAAAAAAAAGAGAGGGATAATTAATCCCACCCCCCATGGGATTAGCTAATCCCTCTGCTCTAGATTAACCTCCCTTATCCAACTGTCAAAATCAATCCTGGAAATCTAATCGCCGAATTAGCAATTGGAAAGGAAGGCTGCTTGCATGTGCCGGAAGAATGGAGCTCATCTCCTCAGTGCTTGCAAGCCTTCTCATCTATTGGTCGGTGGCCTTAGTCATTTTCCTGTATCAAAGATATGGGAGGCTGGATACCTTGAACTTGCCACACATAACACAGACATTTGCCGAATACATACACTTTATTCATCTTAGACTAGTTTTGGTTGTTCTAAGTTGTAGACTTCCATGATTTGTAGATCTGATTTACTTTCATGTTATATTTTGTGCACTGAAAACAATGTTTAATAGTATCAATAGTTAAGCACATAATTCACCTTTTTTTCTCTCCTTGTTCTTGGCAGTGCCCGGATTATTTCGTTGTGGGCTATGGACTGGATTTTGCAGAATCATACAGGAACTTGCCTTATGTTGGGATCTTGAAACCTGAAATGTACAAGTGATTTCCGCTGTCACATCAGTGAGGTGTATAACTATTTGGTTTTTATACCCCTTTGCAAAACGTATTCCAAACATAAACCAATAATTACGCAATATATTGAAAGATTAAAATTCTAGATGATTGGAATTACATGGAGCATTTTTCTTCACTGCTTATGCACTTTTTGCAATAAATTTACAGCCTTGTAGTAATACCATTGTCTCTCTTCGTCTCTTCTTTTTGTGGTGACTACACTGTTAGTATACCAGCAAAGACGAATTACCCGGCTGAAGTTTGTGCATGAATTAGTTGAATATATATATATATATATATATCACAGTGGAATTGTCTTCTTGTGTGTGTTGGGAATTTATTGTAACCTTTTATGTGGATGTTGCAAAACCGGTAATTTATTGACACCAACCCTTGGTGAATTACAAATTCTTGTTACAGGATGATTGCTATCCTGAAACTTCACAAGAGTAAGACCTTTCCAGCCAACTTTAAACCCTTAAAACATTTTAACAAGACTTGTGATTTTCAACAACTTTGCACTCTTCAATTTTCATCATTTCCATGGGAGAGCAGGAGAAGCTTTAGCAGCAGGAACAATATTCCCAGCAGAGTCATATATAATGACCCCAGAAAAATCTGGGAGCTGGCACTTCCCACCCATGAGTATGTTCTTCTTCCAAACTGACACTTCACCACTTCTACCACACATGCTTCCTTCTTCGCCTCCATTGCAGAATTGGAATCCACAAATCATCTCTTCATTGTTGTGTTGTATGACAGGACCGTTGTTGCAGTTACCATAGCCATAGCAAGCTCTCCATTGGCGACGCCATTTGCGTGAATGAGAAGCACATGCGAAGAGCGCAAAGGCACACAAGAGAAGGGTCGCGGCAACATAGCTGGATTGAGAGGTGGTAGATAGGTGGTGAGGTAAGAGTAGTGGTCGAGCCATGTTTGTTAAAGGTGATTCATTTGTATAGAGTGAGTTTATGTGATGTATATATACTAGCAATTATGTGGTAAATGGGGTTGTTGGGATGTTGGGTATGGAGGATTTGGTAAGGTTTGGGTTGAGGTTTGACTCTTGGTACAAGTTAGAACTGGTTTGTGGTTTTGGTTACTTTGAACCTCTAAGGGCATCCACAATTGATGTGTTAAAGTGTGTTATATGACAAAAAGTGTTAAAAGTGAGATCTAAAAATGTGTTAAGAGTTTGTTAATTTAGTGGGTGAATAGTGAATAAATGGTGGTACAATAGATGTGTTAAGGGGTGTGTTAAATATATATATATATATATGTGTATATAATAAATAAAATAAATAAATAATTTAGTTTAATCAAAAATTTCAAGCCCAAAAATAAATTTCAAGTCCAAAAAAAAATCCCAACAAGTTAAAAAAAAAAATTGCCGTTGACCGGTCAACCAGCCGGACGTCCGGCCAGTCAACCAGTAAGACCAAAAAAACGCTCTCCTTTGCTAACTGAAACGCTTGCTGTAGATAATAGGCATATTAACACATACCACTAACACACGTTAACAGTTCCATTGCAGTCCCAAACAATGTCTTTAGCTGGTCAAAACTTAGCATCTGACACTCACACACAGCTTAGTGTGTCCATTGTGGATGCTCTAATAGCTCCAAAGTAATGTTAGCTGAAAAGTGCAAAAATCAATATGATTATTGCGCTGTTTGTTTCAAAGATAAATATTTTATACAAATTTTCTTTTAGAAAATAATTTTATATATTTGATTAATATACTGATGATTGGTGGTGGGGGAAGGACAGAGGTGGAGGCAACGGGTTGTTGGTGGTGATGATAGTATGGTGGCATTGGTAAGATTTTAGTTCGAAAAATATTTTTTATTTTTTAAAAGTGAAAAATGTTTTCTATTAAAATAAATTTATTTTCCAATAATCACGTAAAATATTTTCCGTTGTATAAAAATTCAAAAAATACAAAACTATTTTTTAAAAAATATATTACATTTGAACAAAGAAAGTGTGATTCATTATTAGGTTAATGTTTTATATTCTTCTCCATTCATTTTTTGAGGTGAATGTCGTTGTAATGTTCTCTATCTCACTTTTTTCTCAATATAATGTAGTAGTTCATTTTATAGTACATACCTGTAAAAATTATGTATATTGTATGCCTGTTTATAATTTAGAGTTGTCTTCATTATATTTCAAGGTAATGACTTGATGTGATGGTGAAATTAAAGTAGATCTTATCTTACTCATGACTCAAATGGTGTTTTGTTGACTTAGGCCTCGTTTGGGAATATGTTAATTTAGTAATTTTTTGACTATTTGACTAAAATATGAGCTAAAAAAAACTAGTACGTTTGGGATGATTATTTGGCTTTTTACGAAAAGATGTGCAAAAAGTAGAGAGAAAATGAAATCTTTGACTTTTTGGTATAAGTTATTGGTTTTTTAATTTTTTTAATAACTTTTTAACTTTTAAGTTAAAAGAGACAGTTTCCAAACGAGGCCTTAAAATGGTTTTGATTATGACTCAAAAATAATAATTTAGTTATAACTCAAAATGGTATTGTTAATATATTAACATAATTTTGATTATACCCGAAATAGTTCGAAGTGAGTGCATATACGTGCGCGTTGTTAAAGGCAACTTTAAAATCCAAGACAACAAGTCTAACCCTAAAATTTGTCCCTTCTAAGGATAAAAGATAACTAACATTTCTAAAGTATTTTACATTTTCTTTCAATCCTTCTCAGAATCAAAATGAGTGTAAAAACGAAGAAAAAGAACAATAATATTAACATGAAGCAAATCAACTGTTGGAACAATCTTCTGTGTATATAAAATAACTTGAAATAAACTCAAACAAAATAAATAAATAACATGCCGAATTTATTTTGTCGAACCAAATAAAAATTACAAGACCAAGTCGAGTGTGTGACACTTTGTCCTTAAGACAAATTCGCCCCGCTACGGTGCTTACGGTTGAATGGCGTCTATCTCCCAGGATACAATGATCTTCACAAAAATTTATAGAAGCACTTCAAATAAATTTGTTCGGCGAACCCAACCTGTGATCTATACTCTCTTTTATTTATTCTAAAACTAAAAGGAAGAATATATGTACTTAGAGCAAAATGGACAGCAATATCAAAAATCTACAGACTGAATTTTTTCTCGGATACTTAACATTGCTGGAATGTAGAATTTATAGGCAATTACACATGACCCGAACAGGTGCAAAAGGAAATGAAAAGGTGCAAAACTGCCGTATCACATGGAACAGTGTTTATTTCCCCCAAACAATTTTGAACACAGAACCGTTGGATTGGCAAAGTTCAAAATTGTTTGAATTTAATATTTAAACTATTTGAATAGTTTAAACAAAAAAGTCAATGGAGGAAAGAATAACAAACAGTTTGGAATTTAATATTTAAACTATATAATCTATTATAGGAAACCATATTAGGAAACCAAAAATAAAATTATATTAAAATTAAATTCCCACAATAATTTTTATTGAAAAATTCAAATGAACTTTGTCTAAAAATTAATGTCAAACCCGAAAACGACATCAACTTCCCATTCACGCATAAATGGTTTTGACGTTCCGTCTTCACCGTGTGACTTGTCACGTGGCAAGAAACACGTCACCTTTTCGGACCCACCCCAAAAGACGTTTGGGGCCCACCCAAAATGGGCTCAAAATTATGCCTATATAAAACCATTTTCCAATAATCCCCCACATGAATGGAATTTGACGGAGAGAAAATGCAACAACATGATCTAATTACAGAGAGTACAGAAATTGAAAATATTCTGCAAAGGATAGGTAGCTTTTGATTTTGAACCTTCCCTTGTGAGACACTATCGGATTTACTAGCTAACCAGTGAACATGATGTCTTGAACTGTTCAGCCGTTTGTGTAAACCAAGACAATAGAACTCACACAGTATATTCCCAGACACAGTTTAGTTCTCACTATTGTGTTCATTTTGGCCCTGAACAAGCTGGTCTATCATGAGTGCTCTAAAGACTTGTAACCTTTCACAAATCTTATAGAACCGGCCCAGTTCACACTCACATGGGTGATTCTTATGAAAAGTATCCTGCCATACTCCACTAGGTTTACCTAGATATAAGAATCATTAAAAGTATTACTTAACCTAAATCGCTGCAGACATCACTTATTTCATCATAGAAATGGGTAGGAGATGGACTCCACAGTGATCCTTTGAACCTAGATCTTGGGATCTCTAGTCAACTAGGTTGGGTTGCCGTTGTGGTAACTCTTATTTAATAGGCTTAAGTCCCATTCCCCTCGATGAATTTTCAACTAACTCTTTTGCTAACCCTTTGGTTAGTGGATCTGCTATGTTGTCTTTAGACTTAACATATTCTATGGAAATAATTCCATTAGAGAGTCGTTGTCTTACGGTATTATGTCGACGACGAATGTGTCGAGATTTACCGTTATACATATGACTCTGTGCTCTACCTATTGCTGATTGACTATCGCAATGTATGCATATAGCAGGCACCGGTTTTGGCCAAATTGGAATATCTTCAAGGAAGTGGCGAAGCCATTCTGCCTCTTCCCCAGCTTTGTCTAAAGCTATGAATTCAGATTCCATAGTAGACCTAGCAATACAAGTCTGTTTGGAAGATTTCCAAGATACAGCCGCCCCACCAAGAGTAATGACATAACCACTGGTGGACTTCGAGTCTCTTGTATTCGATATCCAATTTGCATCATAGTATCCTTCAAGTACTACTGGATATCTAGTATAATTTAGCCCAATGTTACGAGTAAATCGGAGATATCTTAGAACCCTTTTAATTGCTTTCCAGTGTTCTACTCCCGGATTACTCGTATATCTACTTAATTTACTTACTGCATAAGCTATATTTGGGTGAGTGCAGTTCATCAAGTACATTAAGCTTCCAATAATTTGGGCATACTCTAATTGAGAAATACTTTCCTGTACATTTTTAGAAAGATACAAATGAACATCTACAGGTATTCTAGCTAAATGATCATCATCTTTGCTGAATTTGTCAAGTATTTTCTCAATGTAATGAGATTGTGACAAAGCAGAACCTTCTGATGTTTTGGTAAAGTAGCACCAGTGTCCACCCACCATTCTTTAGGATTTCCGACAAGATTTGCCTCGGAAACAACTGCAGAAAGATTGATGTCATCGACACCATTGGAAATATTGTCCACTTCAGTCATGTGGGCTTGAGCAGGCTTCTTGCTTGTTCTTCTTTTTAATATAAACACATTTGTCACACTCATTAATTTTAAATCCATTTGACATCATTGCCTTGTCAAATTTCTCATGCCATTGCTTTGGCGCTTGTTTTAAACCATATAATGATTTAACCAATTTACACACTTTCTCTTCTTCCCTGGAATAGAAAACCTTTCTGGTTGTTCCATGTAAATTTCTTCATTTAACTCACCATTTAAGAAAGCGGTTTTAACATCCATTTGATGAATTTCCAGATTGTATAGAGATGCAATGGCAATTAGCATTCTAATGGATGTTACTCTAGTAACCGGCGAGTACGTGTCAAAGTAATCAAGACCTTCTTTTTGTCTAAACCCTTTGACCACAAGCCTTGCCTTGTATTTGTCAATTGATCCATCCGCTTATCAATTTCTTTTGACAATCCACTTGTACCAAGAGTTTACAAACTGGTGGCCAAATCCACAATTCCCAAGTGTGATTTTGCAAGATGGATTCAACTTCACTGTTGACAGCTTCTTTCCATAAAGGAGCTTCAGGACTGGACATAGCCTCTTTAAAAGTTAAAGGCTCATTTTCTACCATATATGTTAGAAAATTTGGACCAAAAGATTTTGAGGTTCTAACACGTTTACTACGCCTGGGTTCCTCATTTTGGTCTAACTCTTGCTCTTGTTCTTGATCATGTTCTTGATCATTACTAGTAATAGCATCAAAAGATCTTTTATTAGTACTAGTCTCTTGTTCAGTCTTCTTTGGAAATACATGTTCAAAGAAAGATGCATTCCGAGATTCAATAATAGTATTTACATGCATTTCAGAATGTTCTGATTTATGAATCAAAAATCGATATGCACTACTATTCTTGGCATAACTAATGAAAATGCAATCAATGGTCTTAGGACCTATCTTAGTCTTTTTAGGACTAGGAATAGCCATTTTCGCC